CCCCCCCAAAAAAAAAAAAAAAAAATTCACCCTAATTGATATTTTTTTAATGTTGCCTTCAATGTCTAATAAGGTATGACGTGACATGTATGTTAGATAAGTCATAATTACGAAAGAAAAGATAATATCAAAATCACTCATTTTTATAGGTCAGGGTCAAAAGAACCTTACCCTTATTCAAATATTACTAGTATAGAGTAAAAATAATTCTACTCATATAAAACAAAGGATATGATTAAAATATTATTTTATCAAACAAATAAACAATCTAAGAAAATATCCTACGAAAAAGAATATAATTTTACTCTATAAATACTTGTAATTAACATTGCTGAACATTAATCTTTGTCAGGTATAAGAACAGTTCAAGAGATCTCAATAAATAATAAAAAACAGTATTTTACTCAAAAGAAATGGTGAGACATAGGATATAACAGTGACTAACTAATTAGCTGGAAATAAATCAACACAGCCCTAAAATTAGGAAGACATTATCACACCATAGAGGGAGGGGGTAAAGACATTTTGTTTTCAGAAATCGAACCCGAGCATTACCCCCCTTTTGCAGTCAAAGCTACCATCATTTTTTGGAACCCAATCCCTGAGATTTAGGCCGTCTCACGGCGTGTATAGGGGTCGTGATCCCTTGAGAATCTTTCCCAAGTCCCATGCCTTCAACGAACCCCATCTTCGCCATCATCTTGGATCCAAAACCTTTCGTATGATTCTCAAACGTTGCAAACCCTTGAGATCCGTCCCGGGGCTTATGGATGATTCTAGAACATCCTTTCTTCCCCGAGCTCGCACTTCTTCTCGGGAGGTCCTCGCTGCGACCAAGGGACTCAGTGCGGGTCCCTTTGGAATTCGAAATGTTCTAAAGAATGAAAATAAAGAGGAACATTAGAAGAGAAGAAATATAGATTGAGTTTATGTTTGGTAAGGTTCATGTTTAACCAAACGCGAACTTATTTCAATGTATTGATTGTTACCTCCACATTGATATTCTTATAAGGTCCATATAAGAACTTACCGCATTTCTAAGGTAAAACGAAACATAAGAAAACAACTTTCTTTATCGTTTTTTGCCATTTCCCTAGTACTTCTAGAGATCCAAAAGCACCATAATAGCGTGTTTGGATGACAAGAAAAGAAGAAGAAAGAAAATTGAAGGTGAGAAAACAAGCATTTTTTACCGTTTGGTTGGGCGAGAAAATGAGGAAGAGAGAAAAAAAGATGTGAGTCCCGCCTAAAAAGTTTTCTTACCTATTTTGGTGAGAAATCAGTAAAACCCTAATTTCATTTTCTTCTACCTTTTTTTTCCTCTTATCATTTTCTATCGATCCAAACACTAACTTTTTTTTCTTCATTTTCCTTCCATTTTCTTTCCTATCATTTTCTTTCATCTCATTTTCTCTCCCCATCCAAACAAATGGTAAATGAGAATTTGATTACCTGAGTAGTGCTCGGTTCAGCAACAGGAGCTCCCAAACCGAGTGTCTTAGGACGCTGAGAGACTTGGATGGGCTCTGCAATGCCCTGCCCGTCCTTGCCCAATCCACCACCCGTGAAGCCCATCTTAACCATCATTTTGGAACTGAAACCGGTTGTGTGCAACTCGAATGCGCCATAGTTCTGCACTGAGCCGGACACACTTGACTCCTTTGGTTCATCAGCAGCCTTCTGCTCAACTGTCTCTGAACCCATTATACCGCTTGATATGAACGACACGGGTTGGGAAGAGTAGGAAGGACTCGGTTTACTGTCGCGCTTCTTTCTGCTTGACGGATCTTTTTTATTGCCCCCAGAATTTGAAAGGTCCTTTAGTGGTCTTGTCTGAGAAAATTTGCAGTCCCTAGGTGTTGAATAAAGACACTTTTGGCCTCTTGAAGATTTGTTTACGGCTTTGGGGCCCTTTCCATATGATAGATCGTCATTGACTACAAAGTCATCGTCATCCTCTTCATTAGCTCCTATTAACTGAAAAAGTTCAAGAGCCACCAAATGCCAAGTTCAAGAACCACAATAATAAATAACGGAGTGTTCCGTTAACACTCATTTTGAGTGTCACCGGATGACACCAGCTCCTATTGGAGCATCTATGGTGTTCCATTTGTAAAATTGATTGTTTCTACCCCTTCTAACCCCTCGTTAAACCCCTTACCCAGGCCCAGCCCGAACCCACCCCCTAACCCCTTTAATTTCATCTCCAAAATTTTGTTGACTTTGGAGTCAAATTTTTTTTACCCCAAAGTCAACAAAAATCCGAGGATGAAATTGAAAATGTTAGAGGGTGGGGTTGGGTCGGGGTAGGGGGTTTATTGTGAGAGGAATGATAGAAATCATCAATTTTACAAACAAAACACCATAGGTGCCCCGAAACCCCAGTGGCACCGTAGTGTCAACCGGGATCAGTGTCAACGGAATCTACCCGAATAAATAATAATAATAATAATAATAGTAATAGTAATAATAATAATAATAATAGATCTAAAATACCTGTTCTAAGCGAGCTCTACCATGCGCAGATGGCATACATGTATGAGGTGTTCTTGCTACTGTAACAAATCTACAAGTGAAAGTCAGAGAATTGAAATGTAGATACTATAAAAAAATTGAAAATCCTGATATTTATAAATTTCCATATTTAGATGGCTACGATATCGCCATGGAGGCAACAAAATCTTGGAGAAAAATTGGAACGTCGTAGAGAAATGTTAAAAAATGAAATAAAAACAAGAAATATCATGGAATATAAAAAATCGATGAAATATACACAAAATGCACTATATCCATTCCACTAGTTTTGGGACATGGGCAGTGGCACACAAATTTAAGAAGAGTATAATCATCTAGTACTGTGGTTGATATTGAATTGGTAGCAGGAATTGATTGAGCCACATAAATTATGCCAAACATGGTGCGGAGCAAAACTCTGGGAAGACTAAAATGAAAAAAAAGAAACAAATTGTGGGACAAAGAGAGTAATTTTTTCTTTTAAAAAAATCTGATATTCATACCCACCAATTTTTCCATATATTTGAAGTACCACAAATAGTTACATAAATACTGAAATATAAAACCTTGAATATTATATCATGTGCCAATGACAAAATTGAAGTACAAACGCTGTAATTTAGAATATTAACTAAACTTGGTACCTCTTCTTGCCAGACCCTTGAGAACTACTCCATAAGTGGTAGACTGATGCAACTCTACATACCTGTATAAGATTCAAGATTTATTACCATACAGTAATTTAAGTTACTACTTCTGTCCCAAAAAATTGTATGTCTTTGACGTACACTGGTTCAAAAAAGTATGTGAAAAGTCAAAAAAGTGTGCTAGAAATTCTTAAGAGATATTATCTTAGCCACATATTCTTTTACTAAAAAGGAAAATGAGACTTTTTTGGGACGGACAAAAAAAGAAAGAAAAAGATTTTAGCGGAATAGATAGAGTATTAAACTAGTTAGGTCGAAAGTCTAACCTAGACCTATTACAGAACTGTTTGCTTAACTATAGATGTATCTAAAAGGTATACTACTTAATATTTTATTATTACTGTGATTATTATTAATAGTAGTAGTTGTTGTTTTAAATATTATTACTTGCCCCGAAAATGATGTAAAAGACATCATACCTGAGAACAATCTTTTGTGTGCATAGGTTCAAACGACATAATATCAGCCTCATCCAGAACCATCTGTTGCAATCTCTACAATAGAGAATGAGAAGAATGATAGTACACCAAGAAATCATGTCAGTTAAAATTCTTGTGAATCTTTTGTTTTGGAAACATAATACTTTAGAAAAAAAATTCCCATCCCCTCCATTTCTCTCCAAACCTAACTCCCAAACACACCCTCAAAGAAAATTCCATTAAATAATTACCGCATTAATTTTCTGGAGGTCAACACCGCGACGAATCATTCTTTCTCGGCGCTTCATGGCTATCATTTCCTTCCGGTGTTTCTTCTTCTCACCTGAGATCATAAGCTAGAAGTACATATATACTAATACAGTGGAATTGAAAGTGTATGGTTAATGACATTAATGGTGGCAAAATGCATCATATAGAACTCATTAAAATAGAAAACACAAATCACAAAACATATAGGATATGTTTTTAACAAGAAAAAATGAGAGGGAAAAGGGAAATGCTAATGATAATAGGTTATCTATGCTTGTTTCAACTTGGAAAATGTGAAGGCAAATTCAGTGTGTTCTCAAGAATTAGAATATGAGAAGGTATTTCATATTTTCATACTACTCCCAAATCCCAAATTCAACAATTCATAAATCACATTGACGCATCTATATAGAAATCACAACCTGGATATCTCCTGGAATGTTTGCTTTTCTGAGACTCAAAAGGCCATGACTGAGGAAATTTAGCAGCATGCTTCTTTCTACCTGATGCAGTCCTTGGATCTTTTACCAGCATAAGGTCATCGAAAGCGGATGGCAAGACGTTCCTGGAAGGGGTAAATTGCAATTTTCCCAGACTTTTTCTCCTAGGCTGTTGCTTCTTCATGCCATCCTTCATTGATGTCTCTTGGAGAGCAATCCCACCAAGCTTCTCTAATGCTTCATCAAGCTTATCATCCTCCTCCCGGATTAGTCCAACAAGTTGATCTACATTCACACTATGGGCAATCCCACCTGTGCTTTCCAGATAATCTGCTGCAACATCATCATCAATTTCTGAATCACTATCCAATGAATCATTGCTGTCAGATGAATTTTCAGAAGAATCTGAACTTTCTTCATCTTCTTCATCATCCTCGTTGTCATCATCTTCCTCTTCTTCTTCTTCTTCTTCTGATATATCTTGTGTATATAATCTCAAGCCCCCAAAGGTCAAAAACCCTTCATTTTTCTTACGTGATGATTTTTTAGCTGGCAATCCATCACTCTTCTCACCATCATCATCAAGAAGGCTGAACTCAGCGTCCATATCCTCATCAGAGCAAGATGATCCATAACCAAAATCTTCCTTCTCGTCAGGTTTGGAAGATGATTCAACGCCGCTCGTTGCTTCTGCTTTATTAAAGAACCCTAATCCTCTGTGCATGCTTTCATCCACTGAGAAACTTGTACTGCAGTCATAAACACATTCCATTCCTTGCTGTTCATCGTCTGATCCATCACCTAGTGTAAAACTTGTTCCATACTCATAAAGCGGCTTTGCATTTGGAGGTTCCTTGCTTTGTCCTTCATCTACAAATGCAACAATTTTCGATTCCTTGGAATCAACCAAAACCAAAGGATGCATCTTCTCCAGCTTTGTATCCCTAACTTCTCCACTGCTCTCACCAGCCAAACCTTCCTATTACACATCCAAATCTATTCAGTAAGGAATTGATCCTTTAGATTTTACCAAAGAACAAGCATCCAAAAAAAGAATCACATTTCAAAAACATATCCAAACACATTAAGAAAATATTGAGAATATTTACTGTAAAAGCACTCATTTAACCTCAAGACTCATTTTTTTTACAAGAATTGTTCAAAAAGAACATTTACCTGACCATCTTCAGAAGGATACGCATAAGCAATCGCACTTCCCCTAGTCTTCGTAGATTCATTTCTGGATTTTGAATCCGAACCGGAATTATTGTTCAGTTTAATTACGCTTCTGTCCCCACTTCTGATATTGCTGCCTCCCCTTCCAAGCCCACCACGCAGATTCTTCCCTAATAATCCCAATCAAATACAAATATAACCAAATTCGATGGCGCTCGAGCAATTGCGAGCAAGTAATCGGAGATTAAGCTGGAGAATTAAAAGAAAAATTAAAAATTTGGGGATTCGAAGAACCTCTAGGCGTAGAATCCATGGCCTGCCATTCAGATAAGGCTCCACCGACGACGAAAAGGGCCCGACCCGGAAACGCGTTTTGGGTCCTTCTGCTTTTGGATCTGCTGGTTCCTTGCCTCTTATTTCCTCTGCCCATTTTCCGATTGATTTCCAGAACAGCGGCCCAGAGAGAGGAGAAGAAGAAGAAGAAGTTTGCGGCTTAAAGGTTGTACCTTTGATCTCAAGCCTGACCTCGGAAGGGACAAGTGCTTGATGCACTGAGATCCACATATAGGTAGTAGACCCGATAAAGTGCCAGTCTGACCTAACAATTGAAACTCGAGCCTGCCCTGCCTGGTACTCATGGGCTTTGGGCTGGTCTAACACGTATTTTAAGTGAAACAATTAAAAAATAATTTTAGAATAAAATAATGTTTTAATGTATTAAATGTTTGATACGGGGTATAAAAATTAAGACGAGTACACTATCGAAGAAACGAATAATATATGCAACGTGTATGTTGCATAAAATGGGATCATTTTTACAGGATCTTATTAGAGTGTACTCCGTGAAACCATATGATTTGATCATTCTTACTGAGATCATTCTTATGAAACAGTCTTCATAAGAAAAGAAAGTATATGATGTGATCTTTTAAATAGTAATGTGAGACCTTATTTTGGGACAAAACAAGAGTATAATAATACTATTTCACAGCAGTGAATTGAGACTTCATTAACAAATGAACATTTCATGATAAAGTATATCCATCAGTCTCTCCATATTCTAAGAGAATCCTTTTCCTCGAAGCAAACAACCAATGGAGGGTTTAAGACAGTTGAAAATTACATCATCCAAAATTATCACAAGCCAAAAAAGAAGGGGGGAAAAGTTGAACAAAAAATCAGAACTTATTTGGTTTTCTTTTGGTCAGAAACCCTTCCACCCATGATCTTGCAGACAGGGTGATCCTTAGGTTGAACAAGTTGCAGAGCAGGATGAACCTTGAGATCCCCCATTACTATCTTCTGCCCGACGTCCAGCTCACTCAGATCAACGTCTATGTAGGGAGGAATTATATCTGCTGGGCAGATGAACTTCACTGTTCTCTTGATGATATTCAGGTAAGAACCTGCCATTTTTATCAAGCAGGCATCAATTGTAGAGCTGACAAATATCGGTCAGGTCAGGTTTGGACTTGGTTACTTCACGTTTGGATAAGTTCTGATTCGAGGTTGAAAATGCTGACCTAGTAACAGGTTATGAGCGATACTTTTTAAAATACAAAAATTTATGCTACGAATTGTATTTTGCATAAAAAAATACAGGTTTGGGTTGGTCATGTCGTGCTTGGCGGGGTTTGTTCCATTTTTAGCATGTTATTTTGGGTTCGATTAACAAAATCGTTATTCAAAATCCAATATTTTCAGTTCGGGTCGCGATAAAAAACAGGTCTTTTTGTCAATCCGAATTGTAAGTAGCTCGTTGGGCAAAAAAAGTTGACAAGCTTGTGGGACCTCATTGTGGGCCCGAACATACCGCCAGTCTAGCGATATTTAAAACAATGAAAGTGGTACGTACCTTTCTTCAACCCAGGGGAGGCATCGTCACCACGAAAGACAATGGGAATGTCAACCTTAAGTAGAGCACCTGATGGAGCTCTTAGGAAGGTGACATTGAGAGGAGCATCAGTGCCTGCATGTAGATGAATCTGACACATCAAGTTAAAAAAAGAAAAGAAAAAATAATATCAGTTCATCTTTAAAAAAATCATCTTCAAGACTTGTGTAGATATGTAGATATACATATGGAGTTATTTGACTTATTCCTAAGCAAAATTCACTCCATCTACAAGACTGTTTAACTGGGATTCAATCGGCCCTTCAAAATTCATATGTATCTCAGCTATCCTGATGCATATAAAGATCTTTCATCCCAACTGTACTTTTTTTAACAAAGAAGAGAAGCAGATGCATGGAAACCACATACGGAATAAAACCATTGAGATCTCATACAACAACAACAAAAAAACAAACCAAACAGAAACAGTTCGAAATGAGGCACTTTTTACGCCTCAATAGTGGAAAAGATATTTTTTGCATCTCCACTATCATTGAAAGACATTAAATTTTTTTCAACATTTTTTTAAATATACTCCATCCCAATATTTTTGTCCCTTTCAAACTTTTTTGCAAGTCTCACTATTTTTGCCCCATACCATAATTACTAATGTTTGTGTGGATATATTCATTCTTAATTTTCTTGGTTTTAGGAAAATTTCTCTTGTAAACCAAGGTGCACACCAAACGCCCATTTCACACACAAAACTTGTTTGCGCGTCGCCATAACCATACCTTTTTTTTTAACATGAGCATCAACACACAATTTCACTTTTTTTAAAGTTGTGTGCATTGTGTCTAACCCTAGAGTTTTTTGCTCGTTTGAATTGAGCTTCATAAACTAATTGCTACATCTTCAGGTTCCGGACTTCTTAGGTTCAGCAGCAGATTATTACGTGGTTCAAGGTATTAGGAAGGAAAAGAAAAGAAAATTATTTTCTCGTTTTCTCGCAAAAACGGAAGGAATTTTGTTTTCCCTCTTCTTAAATCATTTTGCCTTCTTGCTTTCTTTTCCTTCTACTTTTCTTTTCATTTCGTCTCTAACCAAACAAGAAATTCTTTTTTTTTCATTCAAATTCCTAGAACCAAAGCATAGTGTTTATGACTTGGCCTAAACTGGTTCAAGACAATTGGCAACTAACACTCTTCACTTACATAGTAACATTGCAACTCATTATACGGTAAAACCAAACACGCAATTGATCGAACATGTTATAGGCCCTTGAAATAACCCTAGCCCCTAGAGATTAATACCTGCCTAGGCAAGACTCGAACTTTCTCAATGATTTCCCCGGACTCGAATTCGGGGCGGAGCTCAAGGTCAAACAATCTGGACAGAAAATTAACCCGGCCCATATTGGTAACGAGCTTCCTGATCTGATTTGTCTGCACGGAAATGAGCCGCTTGTTCCCTCCGTTCTGTCCACCCTCTTGCTCGAATAGAATGCTCGGAACTCGCCCCGCTTTCCTCTCCTTGGCGGATATGTTCTTGCCGGAGATAGCTCGCGGGATTGCATGAATGGTCTCCGCGAACTTCGGGTCGGGTTTAGGGAACCCGTCTGTGTTTTTAAGAGTTACGGGTTCCGGGACAGGCGGCTCTGGCGAGACGGAGACGGCGGCGGCGGACTGTGAGAAGTGACAGAGACGGTGACGTAGAGCTCGGAGCGAAAGGGAACGTTGGATCAGCATTGCACTGTCGCGGTGCAGTGTTTACGAAGGGGATGAAAGGGTTTTTTAAATATGGGCTTACTTATGAAGTCGGGTTCTAAAAATGGATTTCAATGGTCGGGTTCAGGTCGACGTCATAGAAAATAAAATCAATTATATTTACAAATAAAAAACACTCAAAAGATGAACACACAGGTCAGGATGGCCGAGTGGTCTAAGGCGCCAGACTCAAGTTCTGGTTCTCGTGAGAGAGCGTGGGTTCAAATCCCACTTCTGACATTCTTACTCTTTTTTTAAATTTTTAACTACAAATTTTAAATTGAAGAAACAAATTTTATTTTCATATCGTTTCTAAATTGATAAAATTTATCTTTATCAATTTTAATATTTATGGGAGAAAATCTTACTAGATCCTTATTTTTTTTCTAAAACTATTATTCATATTCTTAAATTATTGTAAAAGCTTGTCAGGTCTATACATTCTAACTGCCGCACATATAGTTCCTAC